ATTCAAGCAAAAGAAAGGCGAAATCAGGAAGCTCATCAAGAGAGAGAATCGTTCTCTGCAGATATTCCCCTTTTTGGAGCGCCTTACAAGGTATCCATAGCGTATCTCCATTATAACATAGAGTGAGCTGATAGTTCTTTATGTTCCAGTTTGCCTCTTTGCTTCAAGAGCAGCCCCATGTAGAGCACATTGCAATAGTCAAGGTGGGAGGTGACTAGGATAAATGTCTTAAGTTTTGCAAAAGCTTACACCACCCATACGGTGTATTGCAAACAAAATAAAACACTGGCTTAGCACGAAGGATAAACCAAATCTAACTTTAAAATCCCCTTGAAGCAAAGAGGCAAACTGGAACATATAAAACGATCAGCTCACTCTATGATATAATGGAGATACGCTATGGATACCTTGTAAGGTGCTCCAAAAAGAGGAATATCTGCAGAGAACGGTTCTCTCTCTTGATGAGCTTCCTGATTTCGCCTTTCTTTTGCTTGAATGCGGAGCAAATTTCTCTCTTCATTGTACAAGCTGTTGGGAGAACAAGCATTTCATCATGAAAGCAACACATTTTCAACTGACATTTTTAACAATTTCAAAGGAAGTTGGGTAACTCAGCAACTCAGGAAACAACACATAACGGTTAGTTTCACAACACTACATATATCCACTTAGCTATAGACATACAAGTAGATATGCAGAAAAACCTTTGTGGGGGGAAAATAGCAAATCTCTGAATGGCTGTATTTCCCAAGGTTACCAAATCATTGTTCAATGTGGCTTTGTAAGTTTGAAGGTTGCATAGTTATTCATGATGATCTTCATTTCAGCCACTTTTTGGATCCAACCCTTTAGGAAATAATAGCTTCCATGCTCAAAGAGTGAATGGAAGAGGTTAATATTCTAAACTGAATCAAGAAGTGTTGCTTACTTTAGCAATATAAGATCCAGTTCAGGTTTGAAACTTACACAACTTGTCTGACACAGTAGGCAATTGGGTAGAGGGAAGGAATGTTATGATATATGCAACAGCTTCTTGGCTTTTCTAAGCATTACACAATTTCAACATCTACCTTAACACATTTCACAACAGTTGTCTTTGTGTCTTAAGGCCCAAGAATATCCAAGAAGGATGAATGCCCTCGTATTTACAAAAAGTAGTTGTTTTCAAAAAGGACTTATTGCTCTCCTAAGTTGCAAAGGGTCACTTTTAATGTTGCTCTATTTCCAATCTTTAAGAAAAGATTAAACAAAAAGAAATAAGATTCTGAAATTTCCCTAAATCAGGGTCTTCCATGACTGAACGAACTGGCGTTTTCCCTTCTAATGTTTTATTCTAAGGGTAACATGATAGCAGTACTCCAGTATTTAAGGGGTTGGGACAAAGAAGAGGGGGTCAACTTATTTTCCAAAGCACCTGAAGGCAAGGCAAGAAACAATGGATGGGAACTAATCAAGGAGAGAATCAACCTGGAGTTAAGGGGAAACTTCCTAACCGTGAGGACAATCAACCAGTGGAGGAGCTTGCCTTCAGAAGTTGTGGGTGCTCCATCACTGGAGATGTTTAAGAGGAGACTGGACAGACACTTGTCTGAAATGGTATAGAGCACAGGTGTCAAACTCAATTGCGTCATGTGATGTATTGTGACCTTTTTTGCCTTGGGGGAGCCGAGGTGGGCGTGGCCTGCACGTGAAGCATCCGGACCACAGGCGGCCAGTTTGACACCTCTGGTATAGTCTCTCCAGAGGGTTGGACTAGAAGACCTCCAAGGTCACTTCCAGTTCTACTCTTGATTGATATTCTATTACAGTTTTTTTTAAAGGGGGGGGAGCAACTAG